ATTACAGTGAAATTGTCATGCTTTTCAAACAAAGTAATGAAGCAGAGTAAAGCTGGGAACACAAACTTCTCTGCAAAGACTTTGCAACTCAATTTTGGAAGAAAAAAGGATAGATAACGCTGCAAAAACCAATTTGAAAAGTGGAACAAAATGTTTCTTTGACCATGCATTCATTTTTCTGAGCCTGCTCAATCTTGTTTGGGGTCACAGGAAGCTGTAACCTCTCTCAAGCAGGCAACTGAGTACAACCTGGATGAATTGCCAGTCCATCACTGAAATGAAACCATGCCAATTTAGATCCTCACCAAACCTTTGAACAGTGGAAATAAATTTGTCTTAACCATTAGTTCACCATGTTGCCCTTCATCCATTGCTCCAACACAACTGATCCAATTGCTGGATTACAACATGTCCCAGGGGTTGGCAATCCTGGTCCTAGAGTGCCACTATCCAGCATATTTTAGTTTTTTCCCTGTTCCAACACACTTGATTTTAATCAGTAGGTGACTAACAGGCTTCTGCAAAGCTTGATAGCTTGGTGAACAGTTTTGCTTCTTTCTGTTCCTTTTTCATTTTTTTGTTTTCGCAAACCTGTTTTGTGTTTTGTTTTTAATTGTGAATAAATGAAAATAAACTTAAAAAATAAAAATAAAAAAAAACAGGTGAATCACCATTTAATTAGGTGTTGGAGCTAAAACATGCTAGACCAGGATTGCCTACCCCTGATCTAAAATGTTGATGCTGAGAAACATTTAAAACATGCAGGATGGAGAACTTCGAGCACCAGGACTAGAATAACTATGACATCAGCATATGTGTGTGTAAAAATAGCTTTCAGGAAAGACAGAGATTAAATTATGTGCCCTTTGGACAAATCACAAATCTTAGAAACGCAGTCGGTTCAATGAAATAATAAAACGCTAAAAATGGTGAATTCCAAAGAAACACGGTTTTTTTACACACTGCTATACAATGTGGAGTTCATCACAAGCTTGAAAACACACTGATTCATCCAATTAAAAATTGACAGACTGTTAAAATAGTATGGCACATTATAAAACAGAAATCTGATGAAGGACACACATTTTACAAGTAATGATGTATCAATGCATCATAAGGCCAGCACACGTCCTGTGTGCCTAGAGATCATGGATGTAATTAGTAACAGTAACGTTTGGTCCAAGAAAATAACAAAAAATTAAGAACTGCTAAAATTTGGAATTTTTCAATTTTGCTTGACTCTTCTGAGATATTGTAGTACATCTTGCTTTTAAAATCTTTAAAGCAGAAGCAGAATAGAGACAGTCTGGCCATTCAATTTTTATTTATTTATTGTTTTTTGGCCATTCAATTTTAAGAATTATAGGATAGCACTATTATTGTTGATTGATAGTACATCATATTTTATCATTTCTCTCTTTCTTGTCTAATCTCCCCATTGGTGTTTAAGGCGGTAAGGACAGATGTGGTTGGCAAAATTCAAATTTGGTATAGCAATCAGCAGATAAACATTTCATATATTATTGTTATAATAATACATTTATTATGGTTGATGCAGTCATATTTTGCTCTTGTTGTATTGTTGTGTGTCCCTTTTTTGTCTGTTTTTCTCTTTCTGCAGGTCTAGAAGCAGACTCTTGTTCATGATTGACTGTTTATTTTCGATTGTTGTTCATGCCATCATTACCCCACTACTGTAACTCTGTCTTATGGTATTTGGCGTAAGTCAGGGTACTGTAGCTTGCTTGCAACTTGTTCAGAATGCTGCAGCAAGATTTTTGGAAAGCAAGAGAAAATATGAACACACGACTCCAATTCTGGATGCTCTGCACGGCTACCTGTCAATTTTAGAATTTGTTTTAAACTTCTTTTAATGGTTTTCAAAGCAATGAATGGGTTGTCCTCTGCCATTTTGTCAGAGCTGTTGCAGCCACATGCTAGTCGGGCACTCTACTCTGAGAACCAATTGCTGTTCTCGGTTCCCAGAGCTCAGCTGAAGACATGAGGGGAAAAGGTGTTCTCGGTACCGGGACCGAGACTATCGGACGCCCTTCCCTAAGCTGTTAGGCTCTCCCCATCTGTAGAGGTTTATAAAATGAGGTTGAAGACCTACCTTTATGATTTGGTTTTAGACTCAGGTTAGCTGTTACTGATACTTTTACATGTTCTTACTCTGTTATGTTTATATTGTTGGTTTTTAATTGTTCCTGCTGTTATTTTTAATTGTACAGCACTTTGGTGGCATGTTTCATTCCTGTAAGGTGCTTTGTAAATAAAGGTTGGTTTTATTTGATTTATTGTATTTCCTTTAGCGTGGTACAATTCAAACGCTGACTGCTAGGTGGCAGCAGTTTCTACCAACTTCATCCTGACTGAAAAACAAGATCTCACGATAACACTGGGTGCATCTTGGGAGCATCTGGCATGAGTTTTCTATTAAATAAAAAAATAATTGCACATATCATCTGTATTTTAATATCACAATATATCATATTGTCTTGCAATATTTATCGTATCGTCTCTCCTGTATTGTGATATTTATCATATCATCTATGTATTGTTTTTAATCACATTGCCAGATTCTTGCCATTAGACACAGCTCACCTTTACAATATATTGTGCAGATTTTACAGTGAAACCATGCTAGCTAGTGTCTCAACATGCTAGGACCAGATCACAACAGCTCACATCTTGCTTTAGAGCAAATTGTGCTTCAGTTTCTGTTCACATCATCAGACATTGTTTTCCTGACAAATGCACAGATTTAAATGATCTAATGACAACATATTTATTAACATTTTGTCCTCTATTTTGGAAAAATTATTGTACATTTTATTAATCTTAAGTAGTCTAATGAACAAGCTTTTGCCCACCTAGTCATGTGCATCCAAACAGCAGCACAGGGGAAGTTTGGAAACAGACTGAAGACTGTGTTTCACAGTGACGGAGCTGCCTTTAGATGAAGTTCATTTTTACCCAGAGGAGTTAGGAAGATTACTTATTTGTTTTCCTGCTCCATTAAACATATGCATTATTTATGAAGTCAAATAACCACAAAACCTTGTTGAAATGTTAGTGGGATGTTGAGATATGAAAACCAGTGAATCATTCGCCAATTATTTCCCTGTTTATGGAAGAGCGCTCTCCATAACTCCTCTCACTAACGGTGAGGCAGTGGAAGGAAGGATGTGTTGGAAATTTATGCAGCTAGCAACTGGCAGGCAACACAAGTCACTCTGGCGTTTGTGCATTTTACTGCACGGCCTTGATGATGAGCCCCCATCATAATTTAAGTGCCTTAAGTAATCGTTTAAATGCATGGAGCTTATCCCTCATGAATATACTAAAATGCACAATACATCCTGGATATTCTGTACGGTTATACATCAAATGCTTCAGAAATAATCAATTAATATGCAATTCTTTCTAAGCTCTTATCTCTTTGACTCAAAGTGATTAGTATGATTCATTTGAATGATACTTAAAGCTAGACCCTTCTGGGTAACTTTTAGCTGGCAATATCGTCTGCATCTTTTCCATTTTTGTTGGTCTTAGTGATATAGATATAAAAATGCTCAAAGTCTCAAGCGTAAAATAAGTAAATGTCACATTTAAACACCAACTATCAGCAACCCTGAGGGAATCGACTTGCATTTCGCACAGGAAGCATAGAATTTCAATTATTCTGCAAGACTCCAAAACATAAATTTAGGCAGACATGACTAAATTTTAAAAGAAGAATTTGGGGAATTCTCAAACACCGGTAAACACAACAGGGGTATTGTGGTTCTATGTAAAGCTAGTTTAACATATTCACCACCTTACATCTGCATATCACAACCTACTCCAAGGGCATCAAATGAGCATTGGTCATGGTAATGCTAACCATACAACAATGCTAGCATGAGCTGAAGCTATTCTAGCCTGAGGCAACATCCCTGATGACAGGAAAAGCAAATACAACAAAATGTTGGAGCAGCACTCTAATTCCATGATGAACTGGGGATGTCCAAAATAATGCAAGATAGATCCACAGCTCATTTTCTTTGCTGATCTGCAACCCCCTGCTCCACAATCTCACCCCTGATATAGGTCAGAGACTCCCTTTCCCCTTTGTCTCACACACATGCAAGCACGCATGCACAAACACACACATGCATGCATGCGTATGCACACGCACGCACACACACACACACACACACACACACACACACACACACACACACACACAAAGAATGCAGAGTTAATAGCTTAAAGCAGCATCTCAGAGCCATTGGTGTTAACTGGCCAATCAGCACGCAGCTCATTTAACTCATCAACTGCCAGCCTTCGCTGGCAGAGTTTCACTGTTTTTTTAAGAGTCACACAATGTTACGCTCTGTGAAGATGTCAACGCCAAAACTTGCAAAACAAAGCGGAGACTCACCTCTTACATCAGGAAGAATCCGAGCGTTTTGAGCGTTATCCATTCTTACAAAATCCGTTGTTGAATTGTGATTGTCAGAAGCTTTTCCGGTTCGCTTTTCACTTTTTTTACAGCAGCGGCCCAAAACGATCTCCTAACACATGGATTTTCTGCTTCCTGATCATGTGACGTGTGACGTAAGTGGATGATGATCGGCTTTAGAGCTGGGATGTTTGCTCTCACGGTGCGGGGGCTCGTTCCACACAGTAAAAAAATGCAAATGACGACTTTAGTCATCAATGGCAGTTAACGAGTTGATATTAATGTCCTAGCAGAGTGGGCGGGGCAAACCAATCTTTCCAGGGTTGAGTTTGGCTATTGATGAGGGCTCTTGGGGCATTGTGAGCTTCAACAATCAGTTTTCCTTTGTAAAACAACATTTTCTAGGACACCTTTATTGTTTTAAACAGGCCCTTTTGCATGAGGTTTTTGAAAGCAAAACAATTGAAAAAAATGCCCAATTAGGTTCATTAAAACAATGACATATAGTATAATTTGTTAGTACCCTGACAGAAAAGCAACAAAGATATCTTACCTTAGTGTGAAATTTTTCACAGTAGATGTATTTGGCAGAAAAATGTAGAATGTTGCCACATCAGCGGTCTTCAGTGGTTTGGAAGAAGTTTGGATCATCACAGCACCCCCTAGCCTGAGTCGATAAAATGTTGGGTTGCCTGATGGAGCTCTGACTAGAGTGACACTTCCAATCCTCCTCATAGGTGTCCCAGATCCCCCGGAGTCTCTCCCTCTTCCCACTCCCACTCGTTGCAAGCTATCTTGTGGCATGCACTGGCCAGTCTGGTCCTTTCTGCTCTGGAAGTAGACTTCCATGAAATTCCCTTGAGGTCCTTTTACTCCTTCAGTTTTTTCTCCTTCCTTGCTTGAGCTTCCAGATTTGCTGGCAGATCCAAACCAAAATGGTTCTAGCTTGAGCTGTGCCACGCAGAATCCTGCCGGAGACACCAGGCAAGAACCCCGGACTTCTCTCGTCTCCCAGAAGGCATAAGCTGTCACACAGTGAGCTTCATCTTTGGTTTTCCCACCTTCGTCTTTCTTTTCATAGCCTCCTTTGCAGTCTAATGTTTCTTGGCTGGAAGTGATGTTACATTCTGTGGGCATGTGGAAAAGAATCTTAACAAAAGGGGATGAGGAACGAACTTGACGAGACAAAATTACTGGCAGAATTTTCCTTCCACTGAGGAGCAGGTCAGGTGGGATGGTGGCATCTACAGCTAGGGGACCATATGATGCCTTGATAGCTGGAGGGAGGATCCCGGCACCTGGACTGGTGATGAGAAAAATCTTGGCCTGAACTTTCAAGCTGGAATTCTCAGATGGCCTTTGATTACTTTGTCTCAGAAATACATGGTCTGTATTGAAGATCTGAAAGTTGATGTTTGGATAAACGGGGGATGGAGGGGACAATCTTCCAGAGTCTTCGGCAGGTTTCTGGCCCTCAGCAGCTGAAAGGGAAGATATTGCAAAGATAAATTTAAAGTAACACTTGATAGTTTTTAAAACATTAAGCTATAGCTTTAACATTGATATCAGTGATGTTGGGTTAGAAACTTTCATATTTGACACCACCCTACAGCCCTCTGCTGAGCAAAAACACTTGATAGTTTTGTGAAGAAGGTAGGTGCCCTAGGGGGCGCTCTTAACCTGCTTAAGGGCTTTTAGCTGTAATGCTAGTTGTTAGCGTTTTCAGTTTGCTGGTCAACAATAAAAAGCACAAGAAGAAAAGCATATAAGTTTGCTTTTACTGTAATCATCATGGAGGAGACTGGAAGTAAAAATCAGAGAGTGGGCAGCAGTAGCTCAACAGGTAATGGGAAGGTTGCAGGTTTGATCCCGGCTCCAGACAGAGAATTGTGCTGTTGTGTCCTTGGGCAAGACACCTAACCCACCTTGCCCGCTGTGGTGGTCAGAGGGGCCGGTGGCACCAGGGCTCGGCAGCCTGACCCCTGTCAGTGCGCCCCAGGGCAGCTGTGGCTACACTGTAGCTTATCCCCATCAGTGTGTGAATGTGTGTGTGAATGGATGAATGATACCACTGTAGTATAAAGGGCTTTGGAGTCCTCTGACGGTGAAAGGCGCTATACAAGTGCAGGTCATTTATCATAATGTCTTTGGAGGAGAAGCACAGAGCTAAAACCAGAGTGAACATCGACATGGCCTACCATCGACATATATAATGGGCAATTCATGTCCATAGGCTCGAATTACAAGTTTTTGTTCCAAATGGGAGGTTCCCACCACCGCCATTTTGATTGTGTCACACATCTCGTCACGCCCAGACAATCCAAAAATGGGAAAAAGGGTGGAGCTGAGGGTGGGACTGTTACAGTTGGAACAATTGAACCAATGTAGCTACTAGCTAACTTAGCTAACCCAAGAAGCTAAGAAGGAGCTCCAGGGACCAGGATATCTCACCCACATGACCAACTGGTTTCCGTGCGAGGCTGTAATCATGCTGGTCGCAGGGGAGATCTCATATGGACTGGGACTATTAACCTCCTGATACTCGAATTTTTATTTGGTGTGATGTAAAATAAAATTTAATAAAAATATTGACAGGTTTCCTAGAAAAGATTTTATCTTAAATTCAATATCAAATGTTTCTAAATAATTTTAAAAAAAGTCTAAGTTGAAGAGGATAAAATATTCCAGTGCAAGAAGCCAATGTTTGTGTATGTGGACGCAGGGCCTAAGGAGGTCAAATTACAAGCAGAGCCTCAGACCGCTGCGATCGTAGCTGGGCGCCATTGCCTTTTACATCAGCTCATGCTCCACGGTTGGAGATCAGCAGGACATTAGCTACATGTTAACCCAAAGCTTATAGAGTTTTTCTGGGTTCCCAGAGATAGCAACGTCAACTCGCCTCCTGGATATGTGTCGCGCTTCATCCCATAATTATGGGGGCTTACGGCCTATGCTAGTTTGAGGGAGCTATAGGAGGCTATGAAATCATGGACTAATGGTGACCTGGCTTTGTTGCTACGTGGCTTGTAAGTAATAATATTTTTTGTCCAACATGTGGATTGTTTTACTTCTTGGTTTATTTTAGCAGTAGGTAGCTCATGTTATTAGCTTGTCGTCAGTGCTAGCTATAGCAGGGCTGTTTGTGACTATTGTAATTCCACTTTCAACTAGTAGGGTGGAGGAGCAGGAAACTGTCCAGTGTTACTAAAAAGCAGCTGAAGTCTCTTGTTTTTGTGTGACCTTCGGCTGATTCTTCAACACTATCTTCATCTCATTCAGTTCTTTCCCAGAATCCACTGATTACCTCACTCTTATCCATATTCTTTTTCCCTTTACTTACTTTTTTTAATCACAATTCTTTCTTTTCCCATCTATATTAGGTTTGTTATTATTTATTTATTTTAATTTCTGTTCTTGTGAAGCACCACATGATTTTTATCTTAAAGAGGCGCTATAAAAAAGATGGTTTCTTCTTTGTTCTTCTTCAACTTTAAGGAGGTAGCTTTTAGATTGAGGTGTTAAACAAATGTTCAAGCCTGAGTGCCAAATGATACTGATGTAGTTCACTAACTTATGTTTGGGGAAATTATTTTGAACATTTTACAAATATTTCAGGACATTGAAGGATCAGAAATGGGAGAGTCACCCACAAGTTTTAGGTATATTGCAAAAACAATGGAGTCAAATTTTGATGACTAATGATTAAGAGTCATATATAGAAATCAAAAGCATTGAGACTCAACACAATGACTTTTCTGAACATAGTATCTGCAGTTAAAAAAATAGTAACTCAGATGATAGATTTTAAAACCAAACATTTAAAAAAATGGGGCTTTTTTTTGTTCCTGTCCCCAAGGCTGAAGAAAACAATTCCATTCTCCAAAGAAAATAGCAGAACGTGTATTCGTTATAGGTGGAACAGCACTGACAAAGAACATTTTTTATCAATTGCTCATACTATAACTGAATGGAGAAAATATCTACAGGTTTTTTTTTTGTGAAATGTTCAAGCAGACAAAGCACTCAGAAGCAAACAAATGCCTACTAAGTGGCTTTACCACAGCAAATTGTACACCTTAATATGATCTCACGCTAAAGCATAGTATCAGTGTGCAAGCATTTATGTCCTACTCTATGGTCTTAAGCAGAGATTTCTAGTCTGAGCCCTTGACATACATTTTGTGCAGTAAAAGTAGCAGATAATGCAGCGTCTTAAGTCCTAAAAAGCAGCTCTTTAACATTTAATATAATGGCTTTTTTGCATTTATACGTTAGATGGAACGGTTGCCAAAGACTGCTGAGAATTTGTTGTACTTAACAAAAAAAGTGCAGCAGCCTATTTGTGTGAAACTTTGTCTAATGCATCACCTTTGATATGCAAACGTTTTTTTAATTCTAACACATTTAATTAATTCATTCATGCAAAAGTTTGATTCTACTTTGAATTAAATAAAAAGTCTAAACAAATTTGAATTCAGTACCGATTCCACAGAATAGACCAATTAGGCAAGAGATTACATACGAAATCCAGTATCTCACCAGGCTGGAACTGTTGGTAACAAATTCTGCTCAAATCCACGGTCGGGTCACACCAAAGACTTTAAAAATGGGACCCAATGCCTCCCTGCTTGACACTCAGCTTTAAGGGGTTGGATGGGGGGGGGTTAAACCACCAAATAGTTCCCGAGCACAGCCACTGCTGCAGCTCACCGCTCCGCATGAGGATGGGTCAAATGCAGAGATGTAATTTCACCTGTGTGGTGATGACTAATGGGACTATAACTTTGAGAGGGGGTTTTCATGCCAAGGTTTTAACGCATGCATCGCTCTTGCACTGCCGGAATTTTCTTCAAGATATTTACATGACAAATTACTTTCATATTAGTTGGAGAGTTGTCAAATATTTCTCAGATCTGTCTACAGAGAGGTAGTTCATTATGAAGTTAGCACTTCTACATGTATTTTGAAAGCCATGGATTTGATTCTACTTCTTGTTGCACTGATGGGCCTTCAGACGACTCTGTTCAACTAATTACATGCCAGCGATAATTTGTTTTAATACAGTTACTGTCTTACTGTAATTACAAATACAAATAAAACATCTAATTCTAAAAAGAAGTTTAATGAAGGCTGTTTTAAGTGCTCGATAACCATCCTCTGACGCCAGATGTTTGTGTTGCCTAGTTTACTGTAATTACCGTCTGGATCCTCGTTATTCTACTCCAAAAGACACGAGAGAGTTGTCTGAGTGCACCAGCTTGTAAATCCAGCTGTTTAACTATGAAGATAATAACTCAGACATGTACAGTTCAGTGAAGGTCAAAGTCATCTATTCAAGCATATTTATGTTTTAAATTAGAAACAAAATTATTACAATTTTGATGAAAGAAAATGCTAATCGGTTGATGCACCGTTTATTAATTTTGTTTGTGTATTTATTGAAGTATCCCTGAATGGCAAAATAAAATAAAATAAAAAAACTATCAGCCGTTTTTGGATGTCAGATATTTGTTTTTAAAGAAGCCCCAAAAACAATCTGAAACATGTGGAAGCACATCTGTGGCTGCTCTGCAAAGCGCGCTGCTGTGCTTAGTCAGGGTTTTCATAACGGAGAACACAGAGAGCTGAATGGTCTCACTCAGACGAGAACACAGCTGAGTCCTGCAGCAGCAGAGATGTAGTAGTCGCATGAGTGATGGGGAAAATATCCGTGCAAATATCTTACATGGATACGAATCCCAGCCAATCTCAGATAGTGGTTATGTTGCATGGTAGTAGCATCACACAGGGACAGTCTGGCCTCAGAGCTCCCGATGCAGGTTATCTTTAAACAACCTGAGAAACAGCTGTGCAACCTCAGCCCCCAGACCTCTTTAATCCTACTGTTGAAGCCAGGAGAGCCTGCTGTCACTTTCATTTAGACAGAGGGATGGCAAAATGGGATGAGGCCATGGGTTATAACCACAAAACCAGCCAGAATAGAAATTCCTAACCTGATGGTTTCAGGAATGACGGAAAGGAGACAGAAAATGTAGATTTTCTACAAGATGGCATGCATCTTGCAAAACAGTTTCTATTTTAGGTGCCCAGGTGCATAATCCTTGTATGAAATTATTTGTATTTTATAATTTGGAACTTTTTCAAGTTACTGTAGGTAATCTGTTGTAAACACAGCTGCAGCCTCAAGGCTACTTCTAACCCAGTTATCCTCAAAGTTTCTTAACAAAAAATAAAAAAATATATCAAAAATAGATTTTTTCTTTCAATCAAAAGCATTTGCAAATCTCACCTTTAAGAGATGAAAAAACTGCAAAAATTAGAAGCAGAGACCAGAGAGGAAAGCTGGGCATCATTTTAGTCAAGTTGTAGGTTCCGGTCATGAACCGAGCTTTGGTGACTGTGTGTGCACACGCTGGAAAAAGCGCTCAAAACAGATCTTTACATCTCTTGTTGTCCGCTGAGGTTGCTTCCTCTGAAAATTAAAAGGCGAAAAAACTGTTGGTTATAAATTTATTCCTAGATGCACGTGGAAAAGTTTTGGATGCAGCGTCCGTTTCCTCCCAAACGAGGCGAGAAGTATGGTTCCAAACCTCTGTGGGAACACAGCTGGTGCTGGACACGACAGACATCAGACTATTCCCATGATGGAAAATCAGTGAACATGTGCAGTCAGTCAGATTAAGCTGGCCCATGTGGGTCAATCAGTGTGTGTGCGTGTGTGTGTGTGTGTGTGGGGGGGGGGGGGGGGTGCAGACGAAATGGGCACAGATCAGTGGTTTCTCCATGACTGCTGTTTTATTAAATACAGACTACAGTTTGAGAAATATCCAGAAACATTATAGGCAAACACAAGGTTCTAGCTTTCTTTCTGGAAACTAATGAAAATAAGGTGATGGAGCAATACTTTGGGCCAGATTCTAAGTCAGTTTCAAGTAAAAACAACTGGACATTTCTGGTTATCTTCAAGATAATCAGATAATTCTCTTTATTTAATAGCAATGTGTTTTATTTTAGGAGTTACCCACACTAAATTAACATAAATCACTTCTAGGAGTTGTAAACAGGCAGTTTTTGCCTTTTAGACATTGGCAGATATAAATCTCAATTGACATAATAATAATAACTTTGAACCGCTTTCAAACAAAGTTCTGAACACCAATGCAGAACTCATAAATTGTAAAAACAGAACAAATAAAACATTAAAAATAACTAAATTAAGAACCAATAAAAACCTGTCTGGAGTTTGCATGATGCATAAGTAAGTCTTAGCTTCGCAGAGCATGCCAGCCTAATATCCTAAGGCAAACTGTTCCACAGTATTGGTGCACAAAAGAAAATGCATGCTCTTCCACAGTCCTTAGCTTAGCCCTTGGAACCATTGGGAAGCCAGTGCCCTGAGATCTTAGGATGCATGTTGGGGCATACGGCTGCAGGAGATCAAGGATGTGGGCAGGGGCCAGACTGTTTAAAGGTGAGCAGTAAGGCTTTAAAGTCTATACAGAGTTAGTGGCCTTTCTCGTGGACAAGTAAGTCTTTTATATATACATATGTGTTCTGGAATAAACACGTGAGAGTGATAACTGTAAAACAATGTGTTGTAGCTATGCTGGTCAGCTAGTGGTGTGCGTTCATAAAGGACTGGCATTGTTTCCAGCTGTAAACATGGAAGTATGGAGAGGGGTCTGACACCTTTTTTCCACTTATGTGAGAAAAAAATAATTTCTGCTTTAAAGGGATATTCCACCCCAAGTTGAAATGTTGTCTGTTGACGTATTTCCCAGTATTAGATAAGTGGGGGAAAAAAAATAAAAAATTGGACCAGCCCAGCTACTCTCCTGACTCGGCTGCACTCCTTTAGCTTTAGCTTAGCATAAAACAAAAAAGTGAATGGCTCCAACTAGCCTTGTGAGTAAATAAAGTCCTTAAAATCACTCAGTAGTGATTCCAATTCTGATTTGTAACCTAAATAATTAGACTAACTGCAAGTCAAAATAATAAGTAACTGCAGGTTTTGGTAAATTGAGTGCTTTAAGAGCTCAATATATATATTACCTCTACTTATGACCAATAAGCTGTGATACTCTATATAAATATAGAATATCAACCTGCCTGGTCTTTATTGTGTTTAATCAGAAGATTCTAGGATTCTTTGTTTTATTCAGGGATTGTACACTCTTCGTTTTGATTCAGGTTTATAAAAGTAAGAATTTATTTTACAAACAAATAAAGCATGACAAGTTAACTAACATTTACTGTGATGGATGGAACTAAATGTGATGTAGGAAACTTCCTGTATGTGTGAATGCGATGTTATCAGAACTTCCGGATCTAGGAGAGCTGAGTCCTGGATGTAAAAGAATTTGGTTTGCGTTAAGCTATGAAGTTGATCATTATCAAAAGCATATCAGACGCTATCGGTGTGTCTACTTCACCCTTTTTCGGAGACCCTCTTTGTGGATCCGAAGGTCAGAGAGGTCGGATGACCTCTGGCACCGAAGGGCTGTAGTATACCGTGGCACAGTCCAGAGATGTCTCGGGTCACGACAGATTGATGGAACCACATGTCTGGGACTGTGAAGGAGTCTAAACATTATCAGCTTGTTCTGCAGGAACTGTTGCTGTATCAGCTTTGCAGGTGCAAAAAGGTTTTGACGACGTGTCAAAAGCTTTGATGGTTAAAGAGGGTGTGGCTTCAGGTGGCCGGTCTGAAGCTGTCTCTAGAACTGAGGAAAAAACCCGAGTAATCTGGTTTTAATGTTCTCATGTTATAATTTGTGTAGCCAACCAGAGGTTGAGGAATGTTACCAAGGCAACACAGGAACACACACCTTCCTTGATACCAATGCTCTGATCTGGGGTAAAGGACTATCTATGTGTCATGAGTTTAACTTAACTTTACTTTGTCCTTGTGTGGGTGCAAATGGTCATGACCTTGTCATATAAACATGCTGAAACATATTTCAATCACTGTTATCATAACATTACATTCATTTCAAACTTCAATCATTGAGCACAGATTAATGAAACATGTCATTATATTATAATTATTATAAGTAGCAATAAACAAAGATTTATTTAATGATTATCTAGCTGATAAGTTTTAGAAGTTCATATTTAGTTTAGGAAATCATTCTTTGATTTAGCAACTGATCCGAGCTGCGAGTGTTAGGCATGAAGAATCCTGATGATAAGGATGGGCCTTGAGGAGAGAACATTATTGTTGACAATACGTTATCATGTGTTCAGAGCTGCAGAGAGGCTCTGAGCTCCAGCTGATGGGATGAAGGCAGGCCAATTTAAAAGGAACACATGCAGTCTCGTGTCTCCTTTTTGACCAGATGTTGAATGGTCAAACCGTACCTAAAAACTGACCATTTCTGGATGTTACATAACATAATGGAATCACAGGCACCATTTTAGACTTGGGACTACTTTATGACAAGGAGGGGAAAAGGGCTATGGCAGCCAGCCTCGTCGTGCTCCACGCGAGGCTCGTCGACCTCCGTGTTGTACAGGAGGGAAAAAGAGCCATGGCAGCCGGCCTCGTGGTCGACCTCCGTGTTGGCTCGGTAGGAGCCAGCCGGCTCCTGGCCGACGTTGAAGAACTGTAACGCCTTGTCCAGCGAGTACGTGCCAGCCACCGGAATTTCCTCGTCGGTGGTGGGGGTGAAGTACTTGACCTAGCGGACCTTTTCAGCCACGGGCAGAGCGGTACAAAACGGGCACGAGGCCTGGGGGTCAAGGCCAGGCCAGCGTGGTGAGCCCCGAGACAGACCTCACACTTGGCGTGCAGGTCGCCGCTGGAGATGGAGCCCGTCTGGCAGGCCGGGCAGGTCCTGGCGTCGTTGGACATGGTCGGTGAGTAGATTTTCCTTGTATGATTGCTCTTAAAGGAAGCTCTTAAGCTTGGCATGAAGAGAAAACGGAGGCGAACAGTGGGGTCGTTCCACTTATATAACCCACAAGGGGTGCCCACGTGGTGGGCGTACATTTAAGCTCTTCATGATTGGCTGATGCTGAGATCACCCTTCCAATAGCAGCTCGCTTAAGGGCTGCGACTAGACTCATAGAATCTGGGGTTACAATACGTAACCAACGTTCTAAGCCTCCACTGGCAGCTCCAAAGACAGCTTTTATAAACATGTTTTTGTTTTTGTGAAGCACCTCGTGATTTTCATCTTGAGAGACGCTACATAAAGATTGTTTTCTTTCTTTCTTGTAAACACAGATGCACACGTTGTTAGGGAAACAGCATAAAATCATGTACTTCCAAGTTTTCTTTTTTCTTTGAAGATTTCTGATAAATCTGTTTAAAACATGATTTAAAACACAATTCCTGTCTGGAAGGGTCAGTGCTCCATTTTGAGAAGACGCGTGCATGCACACACACACACACGCACACACACACACACACACACACACACACACACACACACACACACACACACACACACACACATGGAGCAGCAGCTGTTCCGTGGATCTGCTTTCTTGTCTCCTAATGCAGGAGTAACACATTATGGGTTCTCTGCAGAGTTGTTTGAACAGTCCCTTTTTTAAGATGTGAAAACATGTAATGGGCCTAATTCCTCCTGTCCGTGCGCTGCAGATGGAATAATTTAAGTGATTCATGGCTGCAAGTTGGATGCGGGTCATTCAAAGCAATTTATTTTGGCTTACCAGAGGTAGAGCAGGTCCATGTGTTTGGTGAAGCTTTTTTGTTTTATTTTATTGATCAGAGTCAGTCAATCAGGTCTCTGTTTCTGCAGAAGGCTGCATGGGTTGAGCTCGGCGCAGCGATTCTGTGCATAAATAAAATAACACACACACACACACACACAAGGCAAAAACACTATAGCAAGCTATAAAAAGCAGGCAACAGTAAAGACACATTTAGCACTGCTTTGTGTTTAAGATCAGAGCAAAAAAATGTGTTTATATAGTTATTGTCTTTTAACAAATGTGGAATTTGCATTAGAAATGTTAAGCAAATGTTGAAATTTCTTGTATTTTCTTCCCTGTGGACCAACTTGTCTAATAAACTTAGTTAGACTTTTTCTTACCTCTCCCAAATTGCCCATTCTCTGAAGAAACGTCTCACATAATATCCCAATTAAACACAGTTCACCCAGTGTCTGTTTCATTAAGGATGCAGACTTCACCGGAGAGTAAACAGTTCCCAACTTGACTGGAGAGGCTAATTGGAACAAATATGTAACTAAAGTGAGGCATTAAGGGATCTCTAAATGCTCGTAAAGTTCTGAAGAACTTACAAGCTGCATTGTCGCAGGAGTTAAAACTGGATTTTATTGCATTAAATGCAGTGGAGCTGACTCTGCCAGTGTATTACATGGACTGCATTTTGAAGCCATTGAGTTTTAATTTGGGTTGTTTGTCTGCGATTTGTGGCTTCAAGTCACAATTAAAGCTGACAGTGGCAGCGGCCACTGACAGCTGACTCTGGGAATGTCTCCAGATCTCAGTTGTTGTTCCAGACATGCAACCTGCTGCTGTAGTGCTATTAGTGAT